AAGAGAAAATTTTTCTCTTCTAGAAAACCAATTCCATCAATTGCCTGAGCTAACTTCACAGATTTTAGAGTGAGCTGAGTTAGGACTTTCCAGTCAATATGCATGAGAGATGCACAAGGGCAGCAGGGCTCCCACCATGAGCTGGATCAGCACAGACTCTTCAGCCTAGTGTGTCCTAGAGAGTGACACATCCTTTGAAGGATTAGCTCTTGGATCCAACAGAGACAGGGAGCTGCAAGCTCATGGAAACAACCTTTTTGCCACCTTTCCAACCAGATAACATGCTTGGTCTTATGTGGGAGGAGAAGATGGGCCATTCTCCACATGACTCCACTTTGGGCCTTCGCCAAATTCCATTTGATTTGTTGCTTATTCAAATTGTTTCTGGGTCTTAGTTACCAAATCATAACCCTTCATCTTCGCACTGTGTGTTATAGAGGTTCCTCCATACTGCTGAACAAGAGATACTTTCCCTCTTTCTGCTCTGCAGTGGTGAAGCATGAGATGCCCTGCATCTTAATGCAGAAGGCAGCTTAAATTCTACTATCAGGAGAAGAACTTTATAAGCCCCTGATACAATGCAGTACCAAAGCTTGCTCACAAAGGGCACTATAACTTATCAGAGAGACAGAGAGCTGAGAAGCTCAGCTCTCTGCACTTTTCCCTGGAAAAAAAAACACAACAAACCCAAAAAACTAGTAATTGCAATGTATCACTCCTGTCTGATGCAGAAATAAGGTCTCAGAGTCCTCTGGTGACAGTGATTTCAGAGCACCTTTTGGCTTTTCTAACAGTTATGTTTGAGGCAGTATTTATGTTCAGTTTAGAGATGAGAGAGGCAACAATCTACCTAGCACAGCAGTGTGCTTAGTGTTTCTCTTTGAGCAGGTCTATCTGAGATGAAGCTGGAAAATGTAATGCTCTTTCCCAGGCTGCATTTCTGTTCTATATTTTAGGCACCAGATTTTTCTCTGTGAGTCCAGACTGAGGAATGTAGATGCTGCACTCAAAACAGATGATGAGAGCAATGAGACATAAAGAAATGTAAGTACCTGCCCACAATCATCAGCTCCTGCTCGGAAGCCTTTCTGCGGATCCGTTGCCAGATGTCTATAACGAAGAGAGTACTGCTGCTGTTGAAAATGGAGGTGAGAGAACTCATCAAAGCTGCCATCATTACAGCAATCATCAAACCCCGGAGCCCTGGGGGAGCAAAAAAGAAAACAGAAGGAAAATCAGGACTAGATCTTTGGCCTCTCAGCACTGTTTTTTCATCCCAGTGCCTTATAACAAAGGAAGATTTCCTCCTTCCTAGGATGGATAAGGTCAGTGAGACCCCCCCATGCAGAACAAGGCTGAAGACCACCTTGACAACTGTAAAGGTGTCTCACCATCAGGCATGAGTTCTATCACCAGTTTGGGGTAGGCAATGTTGGAACAACCCACTGCAGCTCCACAGACCCTTTTACAGATGTCTGGATCCACACAGCCCACTTCATCTGTAGAAGACAGGAAAATAACAAGAAGTCAGTGCAAACCCCAGTGAACCAGAGTTTGTTTAATTCAAGGAAATAAATCTTGATGCCCTGTGTAGTTTCATATAAATTCAGAGGTGCAGCTGGAATACAGCTAGAGCAAGTGGAGCTGAAGAACATTTTACGGTATAAAATAAAGATGAAACTTGGAGATGGCATTTTGCAATTGTGTTCAGGGTACAGATATAACTCTCCTGGATGTTGCAGAATTTGAACCCTTGACGGCGTGTCATTTGTGGGAACTGAACTGTTTCCATGAACCTGTCAGCTGGGTTACCAAGGGCGTTGCAGGCTGAATTATTCCTTTTTGAGGAAATCTGGAAGAGAGGCACTTGAGACACACTTTCTTCCAGGAGTGGTCCTCCTAAGCAGGATATGCTTCCAGGGAAGTGGCATGCTCTGGAGAAACCAGTAAAGAGAGCTCCTTGGGAGACCACTACATGAGGGGAAATCTTGCTGTTTCACAAAGGAGGTAATTTTGCACAATCCACCAGGAACTGCATGAATCTGTGTGGCAGGTTGCTGACACTCTCACCAAGTACCAAATGAAAGTAACCCACAGGACCTGAAGGGCAACCTCAGTGCTCCATGTATTTCATCTCACTGATTTTCTCCAGATAGACAGATGTGTGTGATGTCCACAGCATGGAGCTGTACGTCCCCAAAGACAAACATATGTCCCTTGTGCATACTACTGTCACTGGGGGAGGACTGAAAGTGGAGGAAAGGCACAAAAACACCAGTGTACCATAGGAATCTATAAGAGTATGCCTGTAGGACAGCAGTTTCTGAGGGGTAAAGCACTGAAGAAGCTGTGTAGGCTTAGTGATCATGGCCAGTAGGAAGTCCTGTGGCAGGGAACATGGGAAGGCTCACCTGGGTAAAGAGCTCTGCTGATCATTCCTGGCATGACAATGAAAAACATAGGGAAGATTTTCAGATATCCTCCCAGCACAGATCCACCTTTGGCATGGGAGAGGTTCTTGGCAGAGAGAGACCTCTGGACTATCACCTGCAATCAGCACAGAAAGAGAGCAGGGAGTTAGAGAGAAACATGACAGAGAGAGCAGGATCCATCTCTTTCTGTCTCTCCTCATGGATTATTTTCATCAGGAAGGATCCTAGGGTGTTTTGCATGCCAGCGGCAACTTTCCCACCTCAGTTGACTGCAGCCTGCTGCTACTGCTCAGAGCTCAGTGCTCAGTCTATAGGAGAAGGCAGTGTGGAAATTTCCTTTACAGGAATCATTTTGCCCTTGACTGAAATGAAACCACCTTGAGGATTGGAGACAGCAGCTGTACAGCAGCAAGAGCCAAGGAATGAAGCAAGCTGTGGGTGTTCTGGTAAAAGTTCAGTGGTGGGTTCTCATAACTATCCCATCTTAAAGCACAAAAGCATTGTGTCTTGAGAACAAATACTGTTTTCCTTGTTTGTAGCTTGGAAAAGAATAAGAAATGTGAGACCTCTGGGAGTAAAAATGGCTTATCTGGAGGACCAGATCAGGTCATGCAGATCCAGCTCCAGATTCACCTTTTCATATCCCTGTCATGCTAACTGCATGAGGGTCCACAGTACTCACCAGCCCACAATGGGATTAAGTCATGTTTCAGCTCACTGATCCACAAGCAGAGGAGCGGACTGGAAATAGTAGTGTGATGGTTTGACTGGAGAGGGAAAAACTTCCTTTACCTGGTCAGTGCACCAGCACCAAAGAGCCAGCACAGAGAGGCCAAATATGAGGCCAGGCCAAGGAATGTCTCCTGTGATTGGATCCCTGAACAAATGAAAGGCATCTGCACGTGGGAGGTGACAGGTTGTGTTTGGGACTATGATCTTTGGTATTGCTCTGCTGTATTTCTCCTGAAGTCCTTCATACCAGCCAACTTTTTCAAACCCTGGAAAGAGAATGCCAGTGATTTAAGGTCTGGTGCAGCCTGCAAAGTTATTTCCTTATCTGAGTCTCATGATTACTTTTCTCCTATCTTCCTCTCATCTCCTTCCTTTTCATTCCACCCTCCCTTGTGGTAGTCAAGGTTTCCACAGAAGTCAATTGGATTTTGCCTACGGTCCTTGTGGTTTTAACAGTGCAATCTGGAAAAGGATCTATGCACAAAAATCTCCATGATCCTAATCCTCATAATGTCCTCAGCATCTAGTCCATGCTCACACACACTCCAAGAACTGTGGAGCAGGAAGATGTGACATGAAACAAGATATATCTATATTTCTGTTTACCAAGAAGGCTTAAAGCAAAGACTGATTATGGTCAGTTCCTTGTTGCTTTTTTATGCTTTTATAATGCTCAGTTACACCCAGATGAATCCACAATAACTCCCAAAGTCAACAGGCAAAGTCAGCAGAATTACTCTGAGTTCACACAAGCGTAGTGAGAGCTGAATTTGGCTCCAGGGATAGAGCACTGCAAGCTCTTTGACAGCTCCAAGCAAACCCAAACTAGTGAGGTGAAATTATCCAGAAACTCACCTCTATACAGTTATTGCAAAGGAGAAAACAAGCCTGATGACTTGGCCAGTGAGAGTTGTGCTGGCATCACTTTTGTAAGTGGTTAAAACTCAATTCTGCACCATGCACGAAAGGGTGAGGTACTTGCTAAGGTCCAGCGGCCCTGGGACCGTTAAACTAGTGTGTGATGCCACCACAGGTTCCCCTTACCTATGAACATGAGGACCAAAGCTCCCAGCACCATGATCAGGGTCTGTAGTGCATCTGTGTATATCACAGCTGTTAAACCACCTGCCAGGAGAGCCAGAAACAATAGGCAGAGTGTGTCACCACATATGAGACAGGTACCTCACCTAGAAAAATATTTCCCTTGGCCCCAGCTTGCAATTTCAGGACAAATCCATTGGCAAAAGTTAGCACTGAGCTGGTCTCCACGACCCCTATATCTGGCATAAGCCTTCTCATAAGGAATGGCTTCAAGGGCTTGTCCACATTTGTGAGAGGACTTGGAGGCAGCTCAACATCTTAATATCTAAAGATGCTGATGTTACAAAAGAGAAAGAAAGGAGCATATAAGGGCAGAGGTAGCTCCCTGCACAGAGGAAGATGGGTGCCTTTTGAAGTATTAGAAAGTTCTCTAGAAAACAGTGATGTTCCCCCCACACCAGTTTCCTTGGGCCAGGAGGAAAGAGGGGAATAGGAAGAGGTTTCCAACAGCTGGGAATGACAGGGCAGGTACTACCAGCAACGAAGGGACTCTCTCATTTGGACCAGGACCTTAATATTTTCTCCCCTGTAGGAAAGGGGAAACTTACATCCTATCCTTATAATGTTTCTTTTAAAAACAGCTATTTACCTGCTATGGTGTAGACAGCAGTCACTGCAAGCAAGACCACAGTGGACAAGTAGAGGTTCCAACCCAAAGAGATTTGGATGAACAATGCTCCAGAAAAAATGTCTGTCTGGAATTAAAAAAACCCAAGGGCAGTCGGGCATTAGTAGAGCTTTGAGCAAGTGAAATCTAATAAAGCAGCCTGCAAGCCCTCTGTGGCTGAAAGGATTGATGAGGGAGGACACCACAAAGGTGAAGTGGAAGAGGAGAAGAGAGCATGAGGCTGCTGGCTATGAACCTTCTTGCTCTCAGTGTAGGAAAAAAATCCTCCAGGTCAGAGCTCTCAGCACCTGGGAGCTGAGGCAGCAGGAGGGTGAAAATCAAGTTCTACACTAAGGGACTAAAAAGTCCTAAAAATAAAGACTACCTTACAGGCAGCTTTCATGGCATGTCATCTTTACTAGCACAGAGAGGTATTAGTGGAAACTGTCATTCCTTTTGCTGGCTATGAAGGCAGTTATAGAAAGCAGGAGCCCATGTATCCACAGGCAGACACAGAGGGAAAGGGGGCCAAAGAGCATAGACCAGGGTTCTTCCCAAGACTACATCTTGGTGGCCTCATGATCAGGAGACACTCCTACTTGAAAGACCCTAAGGAATCACTGATATATTGTGCCTTGATCTAGTTGTCTGAAAAGGTCAACAGCTTGCTTTTCTAATCCTGCAGTTCAGCATACTAGATTGACTCCTGAAAAATGGGTTATACCTGCTGAGGACCTCACTAGAAATATAGAAACCCCCATAGCTTTGTTTTGTTTAGACCTACTGGCAGAGAATGTGAAACCAGAAACTGGGTGAAAGCTAGAATTACAAAGATAACATCATTCAAATGCAGAAGGTGATACGGGAGATGTGTATGTTGGGAAATCAACTGGAAAGACAACTGCAAATCTGGTATGGGGTAAGATACAGGTAAAGACATTTTCCAAGGGAGACAGAAGGGATGGGGCAAGATTTCTATTTACTGTGCCTAAAACAAACACCCAGTGCAACTCTTGACCTCTGCAACCCTGAGACAGGACAACCACTGCCACTACATCACAGGAGCCACCGTGTCTTTGACTTCCCGGCAGGAGAGACAAACACCTCTGTAGCCACACTGGACCACAGTCTTTTGGCAACACTGCTTATTGAGAGATCTGCTTTTTTATTATTCTTTTTCTTTCTTTGTGAGCAGGGAAGTCTCTGCAGTGCCCTAGTTGCTAAACCTCTGTTTGGGCAAAAAGCAGAGGGAGAAAAATTCTTCTTGTAAGCAAGTGCCTGCTGTCCAGCCAGCCGCTAAATGAGCTCTCCACAAACAATAGCACAGCTTAATAGAAAGCACCTGTCATGTCCATAAACTCCCCCAGCCACATCCGTCAGCCACGAGTGAATTAGCTGCACAGAGGAGAAACCACTGAGATGAAACAGCAATGACTGAGACCACGGTCCTGCTCTGAAAGGCATTGGCAGATACTGCTCTTTTGAAGGTCATTTTGAAAGGCTGGTTTGTTTTCACCACATATGTTGACTGTGGAGCTCTGCACACTGGTGCTGGTGCAGGACAGATCTTTCATTTACCCCCCCATGTGCCCAGTTCTGCTCCAAAAGCTTCTTTGAAAGACCTCACCCTTGGCGATGCTTCAGTCCCACAAAGCAAAGGTCCTGAAGACAGTGGTCACTGCAATGGGTAACATGACCAAGAACTAACCATTAGAGCAGGAAATCTACCCCATAGTCCTAGCCTGGCACTCCTCTTTGTGAACCTCCTAGGACCTGAAACATAATAAGCCTAGGAGAAGGACCCTGAAGCCAGCTGCAAAAGGCACATGGGTGCCTCATCTCTAGTCAATGTCAATTTGACATCTAACTACTCCAACAGAGTCTAGTTAAAACTGACTTATAGCAGCTATGGGACAAGCAGGACTGACACTTTCATTTCCTATAATGGGCTTTAGAATACACTCCTCTCCCTTCAAGGACACAGGTAGCTCTTAGAAAATCTCAGAGTATAAGCTCTGCCTCTTTATTAATGGCATTTAAATGAAGGGAAATACCCAGTAGTTTACATTCCTTTTTGGCTATCAGCAGGGTACAATGCTACAAGCAGTTAAATAAAGGATCCTGTGTTTTGTCTCAAGCCAGAACCCAACCCCCCCCCTCTCAGCACACCCTTCTTATAAAACACAAGTGCTAGAAAGACAAAAGAATAACCATAACATACCTAATACTGAAAAATCAGCTATGAGAACAGCAGCAAAATGATCACTAGGACTACACAGATTGATGATAATTTAAGAGAATTTCACACCCAGAAGATGCAGCCAGCCAGATCTTCAGATGGGGTAATGCTGCAGTTCCCCTGTCTGTATTGCCTGTAGTTTGATCTGACAGAAGAGGAAAAGCAGGCAGGCAATTATGGTGCTTATCCTCTTTAGTCATTAGCTGCTATACCCCTGTAAAGTTCTCACTGTGCATTGCTGTTTAATGAGGGCTCTCTCTCTCTTAGGGTAGGTCTCTGTGATCAACCAGAGGCAGGTATTTACTTGAGCACAACAGCTCTGCTACTGTTTCTGGTAGCTGAGCTGGTCCTTTCAAGGGCATCTGTGTCCTCTGAGCAGCCCTGCATGGTACCAGGATGACCCACCCCTGCTCCTCACACAAGGGTTGTGGTCAATTGGATACATACGGATATCTTGGTGAATATATAGAGAATGAGGGACAGTACAGACATGTAGATTTGTATCCTCTGCCCTCCAAATCTCTTCTGCAGGTACTCAGGCATGGTCACCACTCCTGCTGCAATGTAAACAGGCACAAAGACCCAGCCGAGAGCCAGAAGTGCCCAGGTAGCCTGTTAAGGAGACAGAGAAGATAAAGGCATGTGATTCAACACATAGGAACATCCTTCTCCTCATTCAGTGAATGTCCTAAGAAAGCAGAAGGATACAGTGCTATGCAATATATTTGGAAAGCTCTCTTAGTTTTAATCCCTGCTCAGAAGATGAGATGACAAATGGAGCAACTATTTCAATATAATCAAAAGCTTTTGAAATTTTCCTCCAAAGCCCCGTGTGTCTCTGTCATGAGTGACACATCCTGGTCCATCTCCTGGCCTTTCTGGCCATCTGGGATATTCTGTTGCTCTGGGTGTCTGAAAGACGATGTTACATTTGGTGGCCTTTAAAATCACTGATGCTGTGGCAGCGAAGAGTTAAGTGATGCAGAGAAGGATGGAAGCATCTGTTTGTTGCTTGATTAGCAAGTGATGAGACTGAGGAGCAGAATGTCCCTGTGGAGCATAAAAATAAGCAACAGCAAGACCCTGCTGGGATGTTCTCCTTGCAGGCTAATGTGTATGTGCTCCTGTTGCTGGCAGATAAAGGGGCAGTTCAGTTGCTTTGCCACAGGTGAAGGGTCTCTTGGAAGGTATAAAGGCACCTCCTAAGATCTATTTCTCCTCTGAAACCCAGCAAAAGCCCAGGCAGGAGATCTTGAATGTAAATAGGAGATCTTTAACTTAAATGAAAGCCACTGGATTATCAACAGCTGCCTCCTGGCTGTCTCAGGCCATTACCTTTCATCCAACTGCCTTACATTAGTCCAGAATTTACTTTGATCAGGTATTTAATTTACCAGAAATGAAACAGAGACCTGGGAGCAGAGATTGTGAATGATCGAGGAGAACAGCCACGGCTCCTGCAGTGGCAGAAATTGGCTTAGGTAGAAGATGCTTATATGATCCCTGCAGCTGAGTGATGTCCCATGCTGAAGGGAGAGAATAATGGCATACCTAAGGTCCCTTTCCAATCTGAAAGAAATTAATCTAAACTCATGAAGTTAGATTTGCCCTGACATACAATCAGGTCTTCATGTGCTTCCAAAATGACTTGAATAGATTTATTTAAAGTACAGCAATATTGGTATGTCCCACATGCACCAGGCTGAACACGGGCTCTGGTTTCCTTACAAAACACTTAGAGGTGATCCTAATGGTTTAGTAAAAAACAGTGCAGTGAAGAGATATCCAAGGAAAGAGCTTTTGGTGGGCCCTGTCTGTGCTTGGCAAGTATCCAGTCCTATTAGTAGTCTCTGCTGATATAGAGAAGAGGGTTAGGGTTAGGTGAGGGATGTTTATTGTGAGGCTGGCACTAATCTCCCTCCTCATCACTACAGCTGAGAAATTTCATTACTATCACCCACAAAGGGCCTGGTTTTCATGCTCTGTGTAGTGTCAGTGGCAATTTTCCAGGCCACTTCTATAGGGCAGAATGAGACCTGCCTTTGCACCCAGATGTTCACCCCAGAGATGTCACCTTTAGACAGCTGACAGGTGAATGCAGCATTGCCAATTCTCATGGCTTTACACTGAATTTAGGAGCACATGCAGCTTTTTTTTTTTTTTTTTTTTTCAAACTCTCTATACCCAGAACCCTGCAATTATCCAAGTACCTTTCCAGCATTCATTACCTTTTATTTTAATCTTGATGAGTGCAGATTAAAGCTTAAAAATATGGCTATGGGCTTCTGGGAAGGTCAAAGAGCTAACAATTCTAGTGGATTCCACTTAAACTAAAGATCTCATGTTTTTAAGGCTCTTTCAATGTCTGGAAGCTTCTCTCCTAAGGCTTGAGAACTTGGAGTTGCTGATACTGTTACCATCTGATTTTGGAGACAAATCTCTAGTCCCTTGGTAAGCAGTGACATGGTAGTTGACAAAATAACTGGCTCTTACATTCCACTCAAAGCCCCCAACAGCAAGGCCCCCAGCTGCTCCAGTGCCTGCCAGGCCGATGAATAAACCACTGCCCACGTTGCTTGACATCAGGGATGCTCCAATCTGAAACACATGGCACAAAACCCACAGTCACCTTGAGGATCTCCAGTATGAGCCCAAGCACTTCCCCACCTCACTCTTTTTCCCCAGGGCCTCATCACCTGCCAGGTGCTTATAGAGTTGGGGTTTCCTTTTCATGTCTTAAAGTGGGTGTCTGCTCCCTCCCTCTGCCCCCCCTCCAGTGCAAAGCTTCATCTCAGAATACGTGTTCACTTTGGCACTGGTTCTCTGGAGATACTCACCTGTTATGGGGACAACAGGTGGGTGAGGAGAGTCTGGTGGGAAGCCCCAGATACCTCAGTGTCCATGAAATGTGATGGATTTCTCCAATCCCTTGTTAGTCAGCCAGCAACGTGCCTTGTCCAGTCTTGCTGACCCTTGCTTTTCCTCTCCTCATTTTCCTGACAACCCAGCCTATTTTAAGCCTTGCACTGACCATGCATGTGGTGGTTTACACAACCATGGTGACAGGAGTGCTCTCTTGGAGCCCCTTCCAAGGGAGGAGATTCCTGAGCCACAGCAGGGACAATTTTACAAACATGCAGACCTTCTGTGTTTAATGTCTACCCAAAGGTTCAAAGATTCTCAGCTCTGGAGTAGGCTGGGAAATGCCTCAGGTTAACTTTAACTGTAGGCTGTGGGCATGGTAATCTGTCCCCACCATGGCTCATTAACACACTAATTAAAAGAATGCAAGCTCCAAGGCTCTTTAAACAGGGCAAAGACTATCTGACTTGATTACTATTTTCATTTGGCAAAAAGCCTCACCTCCTTTCTGTATGCCAACACCAAATCTCTATTGGGGTCAAAATAAGAAGATACCCAAAGGACAAGTCTAGGTCTTTTGTCTACAGAGGCTTTTAGCCACATCACCTCTGAGCTATTCTCTCCATAGTCCTGCTAAATATGAAGTAAAGAATGATGGAATTTGTTCTGCTTTTCACCTTTGAACAAAGTAAAACATTAATATGACATTAACACCCACAATGATTCCTGCCAACAGATCTGCCTTCTTGTCTAAGAAAACTCCAGATTGAAGAGCTGGCTGCTGCAAAAGGATACCACTGTTCTCAAAAGATGTAAACTTCCTGATATCTGTTTCAGACACAGAAATACAGAAGACAGGTTGCACAGAGGCAGCAGTGAAATATCAGGGTTTAGCTGGGGCTGCCTAACACACCATGGAAATCTGTCACCCTTTTAAAAACAGATAAAATACATGGAAGACAGTCGTGCACTCAAGGTGAAGGCCACAAGGAGCTGAGCCTGCAGGAGTGTTGCAGAGGTGGAATCAGCTCTCTGACAAGCAAAATTGAAAAGTGAACAGCATTAGAGGCTGCTTTTAACCAAGAATGGTAAGTCAGGAGAGCCAAGAACCAAACTGTACCCAACAGACTCTGCGACCAACTATGGATGGAGTCAAAAGAAGTAAGAATGTTTTTTGTTTTGGTTTTGGGGGGCTTTTTTATTACAAAAACAAAGGTAAAAAGGACAATGTTGGAGAAAAAATGTTCCATGTACCTCCTAATTCTCCCCTCCTAATTAGAGATAACCATCAAGGTAAGCTTTTCAATTAGCTGTCACTTGGTCAAGACAGAAGTATAAAGAACAAAAAGAATGAGGAGATTTTAGAAAGGTGTATGTGTGTCTGATGGAAGAGGCTGAAAATCTAGCCGAGTGAATTTATGGACAATGTACATCCAAAGGGAAAAAAAAGTAAGAAAAAAAATTGTGGTTTTGTTGAGAAGTGCATTCTGTTACTCATGACTCACTAGAGAGATATATGGTGCTAGAGTCTAGCACTGGCTGAGAAGGATCTTTATTCCTGTGGCATTTTTATTCCTTTCAAACTTTAAATTATCTTTATATGCACCTTTCACTCCCAAGAAAAGGCACCTTCAATAGATTTTTTTTTTCCTTCATAGTGAAGATTTATACTTTGGTGGTTTGAAGGTTATAACCTTCACATTGTTAGTCAATAATCTCAACTTTACTCTAAATAGGAAGGGCTTAGAAAATCCTGGGCTTTGGGATTATATATATATATTATTTTTTTTTTTCAGTTTCTATATGTGTTGTTTGTTTTGCTTTTTACCAGACAGCACATTCCTAGATTACTTAATGCTCTCTTGGCGTGGGGACAACAATTGGGGTTGGACTAGATAATCTTTCGAGGTCCCCTCCAACTCCTAAGATTCTGTGATTCTGTAATATCTTTGGTGAATTGGGGCCAAAGAGTTTCAAACCCAGCTAGGCAGTCAGCACTCCCTCTTCCATCAATGTGAACATCTTTTTACTGCCTTTAGCAGGGAAATTGAGGTCTGAAAAAACCTGAAGATGCTGAGCTACCCATTTGGCCTGGCAGCTCCTGACTGTAGCCCATGAGCAAAGCTGCATGGGGTGATTCCTGGTGGATCCTTTTCATCTCAAGGCTACAGATAAAACATGTATGGACTGAGTCTCCTGACTAGACCTGCCCTCCTTACATCTGGAATTGCTTTTGAGATATGAGAAAGAGGGATGCATCTCACTCACAGGCCACCAAGTCATGGATCTTCCAGCTAGGAAGTAACCTCCGATGGTTCCGCGACTTGCTCGTATCGATGACTGGAAGTACAGAGGAAAAACAAACTGGTTTCCTTTATCCACACATGCTCAAGTCAGACTCAATGCTCACCCCAGTAGCCTCGAAACAACCCATCAACAACCTCCTGCACCACCCTAATCCTACTCCCTTTGGTGTCACTGCAGTCAGCTGGCTCACCCTACTCAGAGGGGTGTGTGGCTCTGACACAGGCTGAAGAAGGGCCTCTGTGAAAGACACTCCAGGATGGCTAGTGATTCCCTGCTGCAGCTTCTGGTGCCTTGCTTCTTCCCACTGTTGTGGATTCAGAGTTTCCAGCAGCCCCACACTTGTATGGCCACATCGGGCAGCCCCATCCAGGAACTGCACAAGAACTGCATGAAATTCCAAGAACAATGGCATGTCCATAGGCCAGCAAGCTCCTCCTATATGACTGAAGCTGACTGTGCTTGTAGTTTGCAGCAACCAGGAACTTGAAGTTGGTCTCCATAATGAGATGTTTTGCTGCAGAAGGCCTATACACGTGGCAGCACCCAAATGGGTCAGCAGAACTACCACCAAGCCAGGAGAAGCCTGGATGCCTGGTCGAAGACTCCAAAAATTTTTTTGTGTATCTGTTAAAACACAATGCTTCTGCCTTTCTTTGTTCAAGTTTCTGGTAATCCAGCTTTGGAAAGCTTTGCCCTTGTCTCCTGGCTGCCCACACCTTGGTTTGAGACTACTTTGCCTCATGGGAAATAGACATCATCCCCACAAAAACCTCCAGGGAATGACCCCTTGGTTCTCCCTATGTGAGGCATAGGAGAGGGGGCTCACAGGAGGACCACTGTCACCCCACAAACCTGCTCAGTAGGCCATGGGATAACAGCATGTGCACAGGATGCCCTTTGCAAGCAAACACCTTTGTACCCACAAGGGGCTCAGGGAAGATCAAAGTCCCTCTCCCTCAGGCAGACCTTCACCCAGTCACCTTGAGGACTCACCCATATCCCAACGACGAGGACGAAGGCGAAGTACAAAAGCACCACGATGATGTCGGCCACCCCAAAGGCCACGGCCGCGTCCCCCGGCAGCGCTGGCAGCTCCGTGGTGGCTGGAGTTGGCTGGCTCATGGCTTCACGTGCACCGCTGGGTTTCTCTCTCACACTGGACTTTGGTGCCCGTTTGCCTTCATTGCTTCCCTTGTAATAATTAACAGGATGGAAAAGGTGTGAGTAGGGAGTGGGAGCCAGGCAGCACTAAGGCTTATATGTTCTAGCAGCCCCAGCAGGAGCTTTGGCTCCACGGTTCATCAGTGAGGACCTCTGCATACCTCTGTGGTGTGAGCATCCTTCCCAGCTGCTCCTGCATCCTTGTACCAGCAGCTCCCTCCCCTGCCCATTTACCCATTGGTAATGCCACTGGGATGGCAAATGGATAAGCATCAAATTGTCTTATTCCTCCCTCTTTCACATCACTCTCTCCACAGCAACATGGAGGGGAATGTTCCTCCTCTGAGAAGCTGCCACAGAGGGGTCTGTGTCTTTCTTCTTGGCGCAGATGGTGAAGAGAAGACACAGCAGCGGGTTGGGCTAGCAGGCAAAGGCAGGGGCTCTGACTGATGTTCTTGGGAGAGGTTTAGTTTGGGACTGCCACTCTGGCAGGCTCAGCAGGGCCTGTCAGAAAAAAAATAAGGAAGGGCTCTAGCTGGATGCTAAAAGAAGGAGAACACTACGAACACACACACGGAGGTCCTGTCTGTGGCTCTAGCCCCTGAGACTCAGACTTTGCATGGCTGCAAAGGTCACTCCATTACCTCTATCTGTACTACTCCCCTACCTACTGATGAGGGAAAGGAAACCTCAGCTGAGGGCACCAGCCTGGTCTGGAGAGAAGGTGGAGCCCCTCCACCACCAGCCCAGCTCACCTGGACACCACTAGTTCTATGAATCAGGGCACAGGGTTTGGGTCACACCACCACTTTGCTGGGACAGCTTTGGAAGGGTTGCCTAAGGCTCCTGCCAGGTTTGCAGAGACATCAGACAGCTGGCTGTGGGGTACAAGCCTTCTCCAGACAGTCCCCTCATCCTCAGAGCAGAACCATCTTCTACCTCCCCCACCCTCTGCCATCCATGGTCCCTCATTCTATAACATACCAGACGGGACATTTTAAACTTAGGTGAGCTTTGCTTGCTATTGGTCTCACGGGAGGCAACAAAATCTCTCTCATTTCATGTTAGCCCCTTTTCTCTTCTTCTTCTTGCAACTGCTGGCGACCTGCTTGCTCATTAATTGCACTGCTAAAGCAAGGCCCTGTCTACCCCTGCTCCCAGTCTGAGGCTTTCTGGAAGCAGTGCCTCCCCATAGTTTCATTATCCACAAGAGGCTTTTCAAGACTGGAATGTTTCAACAAGCTGTAGTAGAGTTACCAGAAATTAAATATCTGGAAGCCTAAATCCCCCGGTGTTAACAGGCAGCTCTCCCTGTGCAAGGCTGATTTACACTCACACACTTCTCCCTCTTAACACCACAGCACCTGAAAGCAAAGAGACAGCTGCCTAACCTTGAAATGTATAAAATTCCTGCCCAAACAGCCATAAGAGTCAGTATCTCCAGTCTCCCCAAACCAGGAGTCTTGCTTCCCATGGAAAGCCCAACTCAGAGTACTTGCCTAACCCAGCCCTCCAGCCTGAGTTCCCAAGGCACTGTACCAGCCACAATCAACGCTTTAAAACATTTGTAAGCTTGCACACTTGAAAGGTAAATAGATCTCCTAAGCCATCCCCAGCAGCTGTGAGCTACCACGAGTCTGCTGGACCCACTAGAGTGGCATTGCCTCACAGTGGCAGGACCCAGTCAAGTGTTACACCAGCAAGACTATCCCAAGCTGTAGTGACCAACCCCATTGCTGCTGCAAGTGAGTGGGTTGCAGCAGCTGTACCTTGAAGCTGGATGATACCTTGACTGCATATGCAGTGGTGCCCTTCTTTGCTGCTCGGCAGACTCATGGCTCTCCTGCCCTGGGTCCTGCGCAGGCAGGAGTTGCTCCACACTCCTCAGGGTGAGCTGCAGGGCTGGGCTCCTCCTGGGCTCTGTCCAGATGTGGCCACCGTCCCTGCCCACACAGGGTGTTGTGTGACACTCACCCTGGCTCCCAGCCCCACGGCAGGAGCCCCGGCAAGCAGCAGGTGTGAGGTGCAGGGCCCCAGCAGGTTGCAGCAGCAGGGCAGCACTTATCACGGGCTCCACACGCTCTTAAGTCAACATGGGCAGCTTCCACCCCCGGGGAGACGTGGCGTTCCTTGCTCTGGGAACAGACAGGGGAACTGACATGCCAGGGAAACAATACAAGTTCAACAGAGCTGACAAACAGACCAGCAGTCGTCGAAGTGAAAGCTATTGCAGCAGAACAAGCCCGGCAGGTGCAAGCAGGCAGATCTCCTTTGATTCTGGGGGAAGCACATTCCTTTGCTGCTGCTTATGCCAGGGAGCCTGGCAAGTACCTCAGAAGCTCTGGTTAACTGCTGTGGCAAACCCATCTTCCCAGCAGGGCAGAGCACCTCAAAGCCTCTCATTCATGGAGGCAAAGTTGAGTTTTGCTTCCTCAAAGCTAAGGGGCATGTTGGCTCACATTTTCTTCATTGGTGGGAATGGTGGTGGTAGTTGAGGAAGCTGGGCTTGGTGTGGATGGGTGAGCTGGTGATCATGAAGGACAGAGCTGTTGTGGGGTGTCACCCATGGCATGAACAAGCCCTGGTGGAGGTGTTGGCTGTCTCATGGGGGTAACGAGCACAGAGGGCTCAGCTGCAGAATGCAGATCTCCATCTTCTTCTGAAATGTTGCTCCTCTACCTCCCTAAGAGCCCTTCCTCCTCACTCCCTGGTGCACACCTGGCTTCACATAGTCTTTCTCTTGCTTTCATGAGCACTGAGAGCAGGGCTAACAAACCAGAGTGCAGAAGGCAGCCTCTGGGGCTCTGATAGAGAGTCTGGGGCTACCTCATGTGCCTCATCTCCTTGGCCAGAGATGGGCCCTTTAGCACTGAGCCCTGCAGCCATGGCCCCTCCCAGCACCATGGGGATGCCCAGCAGAGGCACAGGGCAGGTTGCAGAGGAGCAGAAGCAGTTTAAGCAGCACCTCAGAGCTGCAACCTGCTTGCTGGAGGCCTCCTGCAGCACTATTAAGACATCCTGCTCTCCTTGTATTAAAGTGACAGGACATTTAGTGTCCCCTTGTGGAGTGTGCTCCCTTGCTCACATCAGAGCAGCTGAGAATGAGCCTTCCAGGGACTGGAAATTTTAAGTTGTGTTTCAAAACATGCAGCTCCAAAAAAAAATTAAATATATAGATAATATAAATAAGCTGGAGAGCAAGTGTTTCTGGGGCAAAGGATGTTCAGTTCAGTGACAGGCAATTGCTTTTACAAATGTTAACGAATAAATGGACTTCATTACAAAGCCACTTCACAGTCATCAGCAAATAGCTCCAATGTCAATTAGTGAACATCTAAATGGTTTGAGAAATTGTCTCATACTCGGCTAACAATGCAATGAGGGAAGGCGACAGCCAAGCCTCACTTCTCACCTACCTCCTGGGGGGGTCTTTTCTGCATGCTGGATGGGTGAGGCACTCAGCTAACCATCGTTTTCTTCTCAGCCCTTTCTTTCTCAGGGGGAATAACCCTTGAATAAAACCCAGCAGTTTAATTTTGGTTTGAAATGTATTTAATACTTAAAGAAAAGCTATTCAGCTCTGAGGCTGCTCTGGAGGAAGAACGTGGTGGGAAGCAGGCAGGGCAGTGGGAAGAGGAGCAGGTCCCCGGGAAGCTGCGGCAGTGCTACCACAGCTCTTTTCTTCCCTCTGCAGGCCACACTCTGATTTTCACTCCTGGTCTGTCCCATAAACCTGGAGCAAGTCCATCACTTCAGGTCTCTTTGCACTTTTTCAGTTCTTTTTTTCTTTCCTTAGCCCCAGGGTGAGGCAGAGGTAGCTGGGCTGAAGGCAGCAGGACAAACACTGTGCAGACGAGCCCGGGAAGGTGCTGGGTTTGGTGGGAACCTCAGCACCTTGGCAGGCTGCTTTGTGCACCCATCATACCAGGGGGAAAGCTCACAGCTCCTGCACTGAGCTCACAGGCTCACTGCTCCTGTCCAAACCTGGAGTGGGGGAGAGCCCTGAGGAGGATGTGTTTGCTGAGCCTCAGCCATGCAACGCTGATGCAGAGGAGCTCACATGGGATGTGCTTTGCTTGGGCTTTCCCTTCAGCAGGGACCTGAGCACATGGACCTCTCCCAGCCAGCAGCACCACCACTTACCCCCTCCTCACCAATGACCCAATGACCACCTGCAGCTCCTGCCTGAGCACTCGAGACCCATGGCCCTGTCACTTGTGCGTAGATTAAGGATAGCCTTGACAAACTGGACAGTTTGAAGCTTGCATGCAGTTTTACTGCCCTTAATTGGGACAGTTGTTGAGAGGAGATGCCTTAGGCTAAGCATGATGCTACCAACCAGTCAATCTAGGCTGAAGTGAACATGACCGGGAGCAGAGTCTTATCCCATCAATCTTTATCCAGACAAGTCATCTGCTGCCCTGAAGAGGGGTTTGCACCTCCCCATTCCGCTGAGCTGCTCCGACTCCTCTGGTTGCCCCTTCCATCCTCATGTGCCTTGCTGGGAATCTTCAGCGAGTGCTGGAAAACTAGGATGAGAAGCTGCAGAAGGAGTTTTAAGTCATGGCTGCCTAGAAAATTCATTCTAGGACCAAGCTGACTTAGGCTGGATGAAATATGTCACATTTACTGACTGAATTTTCTGACTAACAGCCAGACTTTGAAAGATATTAGCAAGGGTAACGCATTAAGTGACAGAAGAAGGACATTTTAGATGAAGGATGTTGCTCTCCCTTTAATTTACTCCCTTGTACAGCCTTGCAAAGATCTCAGCAGAATAAGTGTCCTTATTGATGGATATGCTATCTGTATTAAGATGGGAAAATATACTTATTTACAGCTTTCATCATTGTCAGAAAGGCACAAAGCAAAGAGACATAACTAATGAAGATTTGCCAGCTCCAGGCAGA